TTCGTAAGAAACTTCACAGTTAAGCTTGCTCATCCCAGGGCAATTCTGGAATGGGTAACATTCTGAGAAGTTATACCAACATGACAAAACCGTGAGACTCTGAGGCCAAAACGGACAATATATTGATAATTAAGAGTTTGAGCTGTTACAAATGGTATCAAAGTAATACACTAGCCGGAAGATGGGAATTAAGTGTTATACAAGACAAAGTGCTACATTATGAGAGCCACCTCTTAAACCATGTATACGACAAAGTGTTACATGACAGGAGCCACCACTTAAACTTATAGGGGCCGCCTCTAGAATCCTATTGGCCTAGTGGATGATTCTGGGATAAAGGTGCTGACGAGCACGTTAGTTACTTAACTGGGGGAGTTTGTGAATTCCCTTAAATAAAAGAAGCTAAACTCTTAAACATCGAGGCACCTTTTAGTGTAATGGTTGGAATTTTCATAAGAAACTTCGCATTTAATTGTGCTCATCAATCAGATCAATACAGACATTCAGAACTAATTAATTTCATCAAAGAAAATCAATAAAATGCGAAAAATATAATCACATTACTACTGTTGATAATTACAATCTAAACAAGTGTCTAAAATAATACATACAAAAGTCACACTGGCCACAAAAAATATATAAACCAAAATCTGTTATAAAAATTATACTAGGCTCAATCTACAAGTTTCTTACTTGAAATCATTTAAAATCACATAATGAGAATAAAAGTTTAACAAGTAATAAAAAACTCTATCATTGTTTTCAATACAAGATAAAAAAATCAATATGTATGTTAAATTCTAGTCAATATCAATCATCATTTAATATGAGCAATAAAATAAAATAAAATAATATGATCAGTAAAGTCACCCAATAAGTCATGCTAGTATGTTATATTATGTTGTATTAATATTAATGTGAGTATAATTTTAGTTTTTTCTATCAGTCAATTAATGTAAAGCAAGACATGACAATACATCTTTAATGTGTGTTTTCTTTTATATATCTGTTATCTGTCATAGATATTAATCTGTCAATTTTATATTATGTTAATCATTTATTTTTATGAGCGATTTTCAATAATAATTTAAGAGTCGTCACCCTCTGCCCGTCGGCGTAATTCAGCTAGTCGGTTATAGGCTACAAACTAGAATTATACCAATAACCTTTTATTTAAAAAAAGCCCATCTACCAACCCTCCCACGTAGGGTATTATATTTTAATAGCTAACTCGTATTCATTATAGTATTAAAATAGTCTTCTTTGCTTATGTGTAAATACTATCATTTTTCTCGTGCAATATACAGCAATATAATGTATGAAATGCATAAATGTATACATACAAAGAAATCTATTAAATTTATCTACTAAGCATTTATTTTAAAAAATTATTATTTTCAATTTAGCAGGTGAAAATTCAATATATTCATATCAAAATGTTCATATTAATAACATTTATCACATACAAAAAGTTATGTGATGAAAGTTTTACGAATACAAAATTATCTTCATTTTTTAATAATGGAAATATCAATTTGATCAGAAAAATATCAAAAAATACAAAATATTTGAAATCAGAAATAGGGTAACGATTTCTTACAGCTAGACGAGCAACTATTCCAACAGGACGGAGTGGCGAAAATCGCTTTACGATCTTCAAATCCTCATTTGTATTTTCTCTCTCATCACAATTCTCTCAAAATTCCTAATTTATTTCTCTGTTGCTGCTTAGCCGAATAAAGAATATGGAGAAGGCTTTAATAAAGGTATGTTAATGGATTATGATATTTATAATATAATAATAATATAATATTATTTAATTATGTAATTCAATCAAATTTTTAGTTTAAAATTCATATATATTCTTTGGGCTTTAAAAATTATAGAAAAATATCAATGAAATAAATCATTTTATTTAGAAAATACTAGTGAAATTGATTTGCAAAACGGATAGTCCATGTTATAAAAATCCCCACTTATACTGACATCTATGATCACCAACACTTCTCCTCAAAGAGGCGTGCAGTGTTCGACAACTTATCCGACACGACACTCATTCGACAAGTGTTGGACACGCCGAAAATTTGTCTGATTAAAAATATTAAATATAAATTGGACACGCACGCGTATTTTAAATATTTTATGAATTTTTTTAAATATAATTTCTTGTATTTGACATGATTTAAACTAAATTTCTTATTTACTATCCACAACACCAAATCAACGTCCGCACTTATTACCCAATCATCGGATATTCTCATTTTCATTTCTTTTTGGCAATGAAGTTATTTTCATCTCCTCTCTTAGTGACTGATAAACGGCATCGACGCCTGACTCTCGATATCTTAATACTAATCATTTTAAGCACAAATTCTAGTTAAATGACTTATTATTTTCAAATTATTTTTAAAATCATACTTATTTAATTTTTATACATTATTTTTTAAATATAAAAACTATAATACCATGTCCAACTCGTGCCCGTGTCCTATATTTTCAATAACTGACGTGTCCTGTGTCCGTGTTTTGTTGTATCCGTGTCGCCGTGCCCATGTCTGTGCATCATAGACTGACATGTATCAATTTCTTAAGAATTTGCACCAGTGTTCGAAAATTATGAAAAAATTATTATAATTAAAACACAATCATATCTATCTTATGGCCAAGTCAGTTTTTAAATTTGGCTTAAAATTTATGAAATCCATTAAGTAAAAGAAGCTAAACTCTTAAACATCGAGACGCCTTTTGGTGTAATGCTTGTAAAGCCTATAGTTGCTCATCTCGTTGTAAGGAACCGCTACCCTATTTCTGATTTCAATAATTTTTGTGTTTTGGGTATTTTTCTGATCAAATTTATATTTTCGTTACCGAAAAATGAGGATAATTTTATATTGATAAAATTTTCATCTCATAACTTTTTGTATGTGATTGATATCATTAATATGAACATTTTGACAGGAATATATTAAAATTTCACCTATTAAATTGAAAGTTATGATTGTTTGAAGTAAATGTGTATCAGACAAAATTGATAGATTTTCTTATATTTATACATTTCTGCATTTCTTACATGAGACTGGCTTATATTGCGTTGAAAAAATGATATCATTTGCATATAAGCAAGGAAAACTATTGTTAACATTATAATGAATATGTGTTATCTCTTAGAATATAATACCCTGTGTTGGAGGGTAGGCCGACCGACTTTCCTTTAAATAAATTGTTAGTGGTATAATTCTAGTTGTAGCCTGTAGTTGACTGACCGAATTACGCTGATGGGTAGAGGGTGACGACTATTAAATGATTATTGAAAGTCATTTGTGAAAATAAATTATTAATATAAGATAAGATTGACAGATTGATAGTTATGATAGATAATAGATGTACAATAGAAAACACATATTAAAGTTGGATTGTCATGTCTTGCTTTAGATTAACTGATTGATAGATAAAACTAAAATTTTACTGACATTAATATTGATACATCATAATATGACATACTAGTATAACTTATTGAGTGATTTTACTGATTATATTGATTTTATTATTAATTTTTGAGATTTTTATTGCTCATTTTAATTGATGATTGATATTGATTAGAATTGAACATACATATTTATTTTTTTGTCTTGTATTGAATGTAGTGACAAAATTTTAATTACTTGCTGGGCTTTTATGCTCATTATATGATTTTAAATGATTTCAGGTAAGCACCATGTAGTTTGAGTTTGTGCACTTATGCTAGTATAGTTTTTATGTCAGATTTTGGTATATGTATTTTTTTTTGTAGCCAGTGTGACTATTGTATATATTATTTTGGACTCTTATTGTGCATTGTAATTATTAACAGTAGTAATGTAAATTATGTTTTTCACGTTTTATTGGTTTTGTTTAATGAAATTAACCAGTTCAGGATGTCTGTATTGATCTGGTTAATAAATGAATGAATATTTATTATATATAAAAGAGAGAGAATAAAATAGATGTTTTTCCACTTAGATCTTGAGATGTAGCAAAGTGGTATAAGAGCAATGGTTAGTCGAAGAATTTGCTTATAACCAGAGCTGCATTGAAGATTGCATTATTTATTGATTAAATACATAGGAAAGATGAATGCATAGATCACCTGGATGGAGTTTGTTGTTGTGTTCAAAGATTGGCTTGTACCTCTGTCAGCCGACAACAAATGCTGGAGGCTTTCATGTGAATGGAATAGGGGAACATGACAGTGATGTACTATGAGTCAGAGTTTGCTGTATTGGCCAGGTATGCTCCTCAATTGATCAATAGTGCTGACGAAAAATTCTATAGGTTTCTGAGAGGATTGAATGATGAATTAAGACATCCACTTGTACCGCTAAGAATTCAGGAGTTTTCGGAGCTTGTGATAGATTATTGATTGTGCCGATCTCTTGATTATTGTATATTGATTTGGGAAATGAATATAGTGTAATATTTTGAGATATGTAATTGTTAGTTATTTTTATTGAATATATACAGATATGTTGTTTATAAGCTCTAGTTGATTAATTAATAAGAAAAACTAGATAATTCTTTCAAAGTTTATTGTGCGGAATCACAATTTATACCCTTCCTTTGTGCTTGATCAATGATATAGAGAATGCTACTGCTTTGTATGAAAAAACTAACAAAGCATTTCCTTTGGGGATAGCACTCACTACTTTTGTATTTTTAAGGATATGGACACAGCTATGTCAGTTTTCAAAAGTTTCCTTACTTTTAATTCTCTAACAATTAAAACCTTCTCATGGATCATGCTATTATTTTACAGGACATTTGATGCATTTGTTTTTATGGGATCCGTGCTAAATTAATGGTTGCTCAGATGAACTCATATGAATTGCGTTCAACCTCTATTCTTTTACATATTTTTAGCATGTTATTCCCTTCACCTCACCTGAAATGTCAAGAATTTAAATATCAAAATATATTCATTTATTGACGGGTCACTGATAGATGATATTTTTTTCCCTGTCCAGAGGCTGTACGGTTTTGCTATTTGCTTGGCTGCTGGTCTAGCTTGTACTTTTCTGGTTTGTTCAGGAACTCTATATTATGTGTCCAACTTGTTTTTTTTTTGTCATGATGCTAGTAATTACTATTTTACATACTTCTTATGAACACATTGCTTTACTTAAGAACATTGCAATTGATAACTATTTGTAACCGGTATGAAGTTTTCTATACTGTTTTGTACAGCACTCCAGGAAGGGGGTGTTTGGTTATGATTTGAAAACATTTTGAGCTTTTATCTTTTGACCTTGCATTTAATAATATTCTAAGACATTAATTTTCAAAAATTCTAACGAGTGTAAAACTAAATAGAATCGGTATTTGTTGAGCGATCTTATGATTTTGTTTTGTTATGATAACTTGTTTTATTTTTTTACATGGCCTAATGATATTTCACTTTTAAAATTGTTTGGCGACATGCTTCTTGACTTTCTCTTAAACTTAAAGTTTGTTTGGGAATAATTCTCCTCAAAATTTTTTTTATTATGGAAATATCTTTATTAGAATTTTAGTTTATCTATGATATGTCATTTATATTGTTTTTGTCATTACACATGGAATTGAAAATTTGCAATTGAGTAGCTTTTCATATTTTGCATCATTTTGTTTTCTTTCCTAACATTGTCCCTTCGTAAGGCAGTTCAATGGGTTTGGTCACAATTTATCATTTGGTGGCAGTTCAATGGGTTTTGGTCACAATTTATCAGTTGTTGTGACGCAATGAACACAATTTGTCACTTATTAAGACATACAATTCAATGGGTGGTGCGACGGTGAGGGCAGGGAGGATCATGTTGTATCTAGTCATTTACTTTGTCAGGGTTATATATCAGAGTTGTTCTCTTCGAATTATATCTTTTCTATTGTATAATATTTCCATAATGACATCCTTTTTTGCTAATTATGTTTAACATGTTCAAGTAAGATACACCTAGTGCGACCATTCATTCACCAAAAGTCAAACACACACTCCAAGTAGGTCACTGATGAATCAGCTATATCTATTCTTTTTCCCTTTGCCCTACCCCATTTAGTGCACCACTTGTTCATTGCTGCAAACATTTGTGCATCAGTTTTAATTGAAGAATGAACAATTATGTTTAATCTCTTAAAGTATTATTTCATTTTAGCGACTCTAAGAGGCTATTTGGCTATGGGATTGTGCAGGATTTAGCATGAATCTTGCCAAACGAGATTTCAGAATCCCGCAAATCTCACGACGAGGTAAATCCGTTGTTACCCTATTTTTTGGTGTAAATCCCGAGATTTGGTGGATTTATGGGAGTTAGACGAAGAAGCACGTGAAAAGGGAGAGATGGTTACTTGCGCAGCGAACGAGCCCTGGTTGTTACTTCCGATCCAATAGGAAGAACGACGTCAAAAGAGTTGTGACTTCCAATCCGACAGAACAAGAACATCGTAGGAGGAGTGATGCAGACATCCAACCGTCCATGCTTATCCGAGGAGGAGCTGAAGATCGATGACCGAGATCACTTTGTTTTATTTTAGTTTATTAAGTGTATTTTGATTTAATTTTGCAATTTTCCTTTTTACCCTTTTGTCTTATGTAAGCCCAAGGGGCTAATCTGTCTTTTAATTTCTTTTGAGGCCTATATATAGAGGCCCTTTCTCTTATATTTGGTATGATGGATTATTAATAAAATTTTGTTTGCACTTGTGTTCTTTGGGAAGAACTTTAGTGAAATCCCTATGGGAGGGAGTCGGAGTTTCCACCAGCTGCAGGATGGGTCCGGGCTCGTGGCGTGAAGTCTCTTGGAGAAGGGCAATCGGATCACCCGTCAGTCTTCGGAAGAGTCCGAGGCTCGCGGTTTTTAATTTCTCTCTATCGTTTGTTTCGATCTTTGTTTTTGTTTTATCTCTTCTTTAATTGTTTTTCCATTAAAACTAATTAAATAACACTTAAATAATTAATTAAATCATTTGTTAGAGTATTAGTTAAATGATTAGTTAGTTCAAATAATAAGTAAATAATTAATTAGATAATTATCAATATAGTTAGAAGTCAAATACTTATTAAATTAACATCTAAATAAGCAATTTGTGGATTAGTAGTAAAACTAGTTAAATTATTTGATAATTAAGCTAGCTTCTAATTATATTATTTTTTATTATAGCTTATTGAAGGTAATTAACATTGAAATTAATAAGTAACTCGCACTTTAACACATAAATTAAATTCAAAAGACATTAAATTTAAGTTTTAATGACTTAAACGCTTTGAATCCTGAATTACGTTGCCAAATAGTTTCACTGGATTTAACAGCTAAACAATTTTCAAGATTTAGCATGCCCGAGATTTATTAAATCTGGATTTACAGGATTTACTAAATCCTACTATAGTATTAGGTTAAATACTACTTGTTGCCAGACAGCCCCTGAATATTTAAACCAGCTTTCGCCAACAATCTTTCCATTGAAACCGCAATGGGGGTTATAGATATCACTGTTGATCACTCTTTTTGATTGCCAGTGCAACACTGGTTCTTCTGGTACAGGCTAAGTTTATTTTCTATGGTTCCTCTGTAACTTAGATGAGAAGCTGCAACATATTCCGAACTGGCTTATGTACCTTCTTTCATGTATCTTGATGTTATACCATTTTTCTTGAATTTTTTTTTTCACATTATAATTCATTAGGTGAATGTTTATTGCGCAATGTGCATTGACAGATTGCTCTTTCCTTTTGATCTGGAGCATGTTCAACTCAATTATGGCATATAATACAAAAATATTTTGAGATATCTAAGTCGATGCATTATAGTCTACCAGCCTTTTGATCTGGAGCATGTTCAACTCAATTGGTCCCTCATGTTCTCAGAAGTGCGAAGAGATGAAGCTTAAAATTTTATTCAAAATATTTTTCATCATCATCAATAGCCTTAACCCCACCATTTGGGATTTAACTAATTTTGAACTATTTAAGTTAATTTTTATTTTAATTTCCGTGAAATTGATGTTTTTGTTATTTCAATTCTTTGTTTGGCAGTCAATACTTGTTTTCTTCAACCCTATCAAATTTGGTATAACATTTACCTTTGGCAATTTGCTTGCTCTCGGGAGGTTTGTTTCTTTTTCTCATGCATTTTCATTTGTTTTTTTATAGCGTGCATTGTCTTAAGTTAATTCCTTTATTTCGGTGCATATATTCTTTTGTTTTTTGTAATTCTCAGATTAACTACGATTATGTAATTAAAATAATCCGTCATGTCAAAATTTCCATAGATTTAACAGAAAACTGCTAGTCTGGCTGCCCTGCTAAGTATGATATTTTATTAGCTTTTTCTAGGCATGTTCGTTGGCTGGACTGCTCATGTGATTCATGCATATGCTGAGAAACATTTTATTCTTATGCTGAGAAATCTTTTATTCTTATTGAATTAGGGGCTGTTTGGTTGCATACATTTTAAGAATGCATCGAAAAAAAATAATAATTTTTTTGATTCCATCTCTGTCGACTTACTGTTCGCGAGGGTAGTGCAGGCAAGGGTTTTGGGCAGGATGGGTGGAGCCGGATCAGGATGGATGGGGCTAGAGCCCTAGTGCAAGTGGGAGATGGAGCTTAAGTACTGAGCTTGAGACAGAGCTCGATTGGGCAACACTGAGGATTGCTAGTGGTCGTTGGAGCTTGAGTGCAAATTGGAGATGTAGCCGGACTGAGGGGGAGGGATGAGATGCTATTGATTTCATCCAACAAAGACGTAGAGATGTGGTGATGATGATGAAGAGGGCGCGCAGGGGTCCAGTGATGATGGGGGTGAGCAGATTGGGTGAAGGCACAGAAACAAAGAAAAAGGAATTCATCCGATCATGGAGATTTTATTTTGAAGGCAAAATAGACCTTTTGAAGTATTGTAAAGTCTCTAGAATTTTGCTTTTGCATTTATTTTTCCCCTCGCCTTACAGCAAAAAAGATAAATCATATGGAAGCTGTCTACTTTAAATTCCAAATACTTCCAAGTAACAGCCCCTTGTTTTATCTTTTATCATTGGAATGTATGCAATAATGTTACTGATTGGGATTTATTGTTGTCATTGAGTTGCATTTATATTTTATACCGAAGTGTTCATTTCTTTGGCAGCACAGCATTCCTTATTGGGCCCAAACGGCAATTTGATATGATGCTCGACCCTGTTCGTATATATGCAACAGCCATATATATCTCAAGCCTCATAATTGCGTTATTCTGTGCTTTTTATGTAAGTATGACAGTGCTCTAATAGTATTCCCTTCCATTAAGCAAGTTCGTGGTGGAAGCTATCTTTCTGTACGAGTCATAATTTTGCTATTTTTGAAAATCCACAGGTTCACAGTAAGCTTTTAACACTTATAGCCGTCATGTTAGAGTTTGGTGCACTTGTCTGGTAAGTTCTGAACCATAAAGGAAAATTTTGGTAGATACTATATTGTTCCCAGTAGGCAGTAAGTCTACTTTATATAAAAATGTTTCCTTTTCATATTTTAAAAGATGGATTTAGTCTTTAATATTAGTCATTGTTTTCATAGTTTTCTTTTTTACCTTTTCAAGGCTTATCATGTTGATTTTTCTATTATTTTCCCCTAAATGACATGGATATAACTAGAAGTTGGGAATTAATTAATGCATAACTACTTGGTTTATTCACGCTTGCATTGTATGAGCAAAGTACTAATTTGCAGAGATAATGGTGTAGGGTGTAAAAAGCCCTTCTTGATCAATCATCATTTTTGAAGTGAAGATGAATCTCGAGTGATGCACGCCCAGTTTATGCATTGAGATGAGCAGATTGACAAATTGAGGGCATGTTTTGCTGTGTCCTTATTTTTATTTTTTTTCAAAAACAACTACATGTCAGGATACATGCCTATGATGTTCAAACATTTTCACTTGTTTCCGAATATATCAATTATAGAACCAAGAAAAAATTAACATTCAAACATTTTTATATTTTAACTGAAAACAAAAACAAAATGAAAACAAAACAAAATCATAATAGATAGGAAAAAAAAAAAAAACAAACAAACATGCCATGAGTGATTATTTTACTTTGGTACTATTTTATCTGTTTTTAGGAATTTCAGTTTTAGTTTGGATACATGCCTATGATTTTCCCTACACGAATGCATGTATTCCTTGTTTAGTACTCCTTGCTGTGTTTCTTTGTTTGGTGCTGGATTTTCTCTTCTCTGTTTGATGCTTATAACATTCTGCATGACCTGAAAGCACACTTTCATTCCTATTGTATATTTTATGGCCTTTTTGCATACTTTTATTAGCTCTCTTAATGCCCATCACGAGGCCTCCGTTGTCAGCACGCTACCACTTCGCACTCATTGCTGCTCCATTTCCTCCTAAAATTGTTGGTATTGATGATGACTTCTCATTGAGAACAAATTGTTTGTGAATGATCTTTTTCGACCAAGGGGAAGCAGAGTTGTTTGGCATTTGCTAGGTGTAGAAGCTTCAATACCTGCAGTATACGCAAGCTAAAGCCGAAATAATACAGAAAACTACAATAGAATAATAAACCGAGGTATAGATGAAGATCATTATATCATATTCCTTCTGTTGATGTACACTTGTACAGTATTTTATTTAGACTTAGAGTTACAGCCACTTTACATATGTAGGTGTAAAATGAGATGATTTGTTATGCACTAAGGGCTGTGATTTATTCAGGCATGTGGCTTTTTGTTACTTTGTTAGATGTCATGTGCTCTGTTACGCCCCTGCAAACTGATCAGTTTGGAATGACTGTCAGGTTGAGTCTTAGTAAATAAAATCTAGGAGTAGATAGGGAGATGTGGTGGCTGTTGAAGTGGAGGTAGGCAGAGAGATGTTGGCAAAGGGAAATGAATGTTTGTGGAATGTTACATGTCTTGAGATATGAATGCGATTGGTGGAGATGTCTAGGCACTTGTAACCCTTGTATGAGTTGGAATAGCCTATGAATACACATGGTGTAGATTTAGATGCAAGTTTGTGGCGGAGAGGAGATGGTGTGAGAGGAAAGCATTCACACCAAAATGCGTAAGTGAGAGTAATAAGGTTCAATGTTGTAGCAAAGTTGGAGAGGGGATAGATTTTTGGTGGTAGGAGATGGCATACGATTGATAAGATATGCTGCTGTGAGAAAGAGGCAATATATAGTAGAGTACGGGTTGTGTCAAGGATATGACGATGTTTACGTTCAACCAAACCGTTCTGTTCAGGGGTATATGTACATGAGATTTGGTGATGAATGTTGTGCGCTGTAGAATTTGGGTGAGTTGATGGTTAAGGTATTCAGTGCCGCCATTATTTTGAAGGCATTTAATTTTGTAAGGTATTTGATTCTCAATTTGGGTCTTGAAGTTTAGACAAATTTGAGTGACTTCAGATTTATATTGTAAGGAAAATAACCAAGTAAATAGAGAGAAGTTGTCAATAAATGTAACATAATACTTGTAGCATTGATGAGAAGTAATAGGGGAGGGGTCCCCATACCTCAGAATGGATAACGGTGAGCGATGTAACTTGCTGATTAGCAAAATTATCAAAGATAGCTTGTGACCTTTTGAGGTCTTACATGAGATACAAGAAAATGAAAGACTAGGTATTTTTAATTCAGGATTTTGCTATGAGATGGTAATAAGGGCACGTCGATGCGGGTGACCGAGTCAATTATGCCAGAGGTTGGAGGAGGAGCTGGTGGCGGTGAGGGCAGATTTACGTGAGTCGACTGATGAAAGGGGATACAATCCATCACAGCAGGGCCCCGTGAGGATGGTCATGTTGGTATGTATATCCTTGAATGTAAAATCATTTGAGTCAAATGTAATGGAAATATTGTTATCTTTTGTGAGATTGGAAATTGAAAGTAGATTGTGTAACGGCTAGTATGTGGAGTAGGGGAGACAATGTGAGCTTACGAGATGGGGTTTGGGATCGAAAATGAGCGTCCATCATCGATCGTTATGCTGTTGGAGCCTTGGTAGGGGAAGGAGTTGTTCAGATTATCAAGAGAGTGAGTGAGGTGGGTAGAAGCACCGGAGTTGAGGTACCAGTCGGGGGATGAAGGATCCGTGGAAGTGAGCATGGCGTGGTTGGACACTATAGGTGGATTGGGAATTTAGTTCACATTTAGTCGGTGCCAGTAGTCTGAGGCGGTGTGGCCCCTCTTATTACATATTTGACAAATGGTGGAGGTTTGCGGTGTGGATCTGGTATTTGGGTTGATGTTTTGGGGAAATCATCCTTGGCTGCATCTGATACACCCTCTCTGTGATTACAGGGCAGTGTGAGGATCAGATGCCGGTTTGAGTCGAGCTGCTTCAGCTGCAATGTTAATTTCCTCACTGATGAGGAGAGAGTAGAGATTTTCAAGGCTGATTGGAGTGAACATGGTTCAAATAGAAATTTTGAAAGCTTGATATGGAGGTGGAAGACCGTTTAATGTATAGAGGATGATGTCCTTTGTATCAACGGTAGAACCAGCTGCAGCGATATGTTAGGCTCCTTACTCCAGGTGGGCCTCATAAATTCAAGTGTTGGAGGGAAAATTTGAATGAAAGGGGGGGGGAATTTGAATAGAAGGGATGTTTAGGGATTTTGTATGGGGATTGGTGTTAAAGAGGGGGAAAGGTGGGGATTTAGGTTTTCATCTTGAATTTGGGCTGATTTTTGGGATCTTCTTGGAGGCTTGGGCTCTAGTCTTCTTGACTAGAGATTTTGGAGAGTTCTCTTCCTCTTGAATTGAAGAATCTTGTATGTTTATTATTTTCTTTCATCTACTAGTGGAATACAAGTGGTTGGCTTGATTTTCTTCAGATTCCTACTCAATTTCTTAATGTTTTCACTTTTTGGGCTGTTAAACTGTTGTAAACAACAATTTTATTGCTGTTTTCTCTCCAATTTGGAATAGGGTTGCTTGCGAACTCAAGTATTACCTTAGGGTTACTTTCGAACTCAAGTATTTCCTATCAAATTGGTATTATAGCGTTGTCTTGGGACCATCGGAGGCTGAAAATCTGTGATTTCAGCAATTTTTTTTTTTGCACACAAAGGAATCTCTTTGGTGCTGCATTAGAGGAATTATGGCCGGATAGAAAGTTGAAGTCTTGGAGGGAGAAATAGGTCAATTGAAGATAGATTTTGAGGAGAAAATTTTCAAAGTCAATTTGTGTCCATTCATGAAAAGATAAACGGAAGGTTCGCCGTTTTGGAAGATTTGATGAAGAAGATGCTTGAAGACAAACAAAAACCGGCAACATCGAAATCGAAGGAGACCGTTAGCGTCCAGGGAAGGGGAGGTATTCCGAACCCATTCAGGGGGAGGGAATATTCGGAAGTGGAGGTTCTCGAGGGAGAGGATGGCATGCCTCCGCTAGAACCGCTGTCTAGAGAGGAGATGAGCAGGGATATGAAAGGAGGGTCGCCGATTGTGTTGGAAGAAGGGAAGAAGTCTACCGTCGGGGTACTGATTTTGGAGGACGGAGAGGGGGAATATGATGAAGGGTTTGGGCATAATTGTAGGAGAGAGGACCGTGAAAATTGGGGAGCACCACCCTCTTGAGGAATGGGAGGTTATGGAGGATTCCGGGGTGGTGATCCAAAGGGTGAGAAAACTGAAGATGCCCGTCTTTGAGGGCGAGGATGGCCATGGCTCGATCTACAAAATGGAACGATACTTTGCCGTCAATGAGTTGACGGAGGAGGAGAAGCTGACGACGGCTTGATTATGTTTGGAAGGAAAGGCACTTGCATGGTATCAATTGCGTGAAAGGAGGGAGCCCATCTGAAATTGGAGAGAGTTCGAAGAATGTTTTCTATAACGTTTCCGAACTGAGAGGGGAGGAGACTTCTATGTGCAATTCTTTGCCTTGACTCAGGAGGGGACCGTAACCGACTATTGCGACAGATTTGAGTATTTGGCCAGCAATTGGGTCATATCTCAGAGACGGCACTGGAGGGAAACTTTATGAAAGGGCTCAAACCGGAGATACGGGCAGCAGTCAGAGTCTTGGAGCTAAGTAACCTGGGGAAAGCCATGGAGTTGGCACAACTGGTGGAAGAACAGAGGAGGATGGAGAGTGGCTAGGGGTAGCAACTCAGGGGGGTCATATAGGATGGCCACCACCTTTTTACCTCCCAGGGACCAGCGCCAGGGAGCATGAAGGAGGTGCCAAAGGAGAGATCCGGAGGAGGATATTTCAAGAAACTGACTTAGAAGGAGATACAAGAGAAGCGGGCAAAGGGGTTGTGTTTCAGGTGTGATGAGAAGTATTGCCTGGGCATTGATGCAAGGATCGAACTCTTCAGATTCTCACCGTCTCTGATGACGAGGAAGCTGACGAGGGAGGTGGGAGCGGGCTAGAATTCGAGGAGGAAAAGTTCCATCTTGAT